CCCTTACCCAGTAGCAAGAGCCTCTTAAACCTCCCAGGAAGTCACAAGAGTTATGGGGAGTTGTGGGACTGTGGTTTTGGCTAAGTTGGCAGAGAGTATAAGTTATCAGACACTCTTCTGTTTATATATAATATTCACTTCAGCTAAACCTTGAGGTTAGCCTTTAGATCTAATGTTCAGCATCAGATGTAAAATTGTGTCATGCCACCAAGTCTCAAAAGCGGAAGGGAACTCAGAGGCCATCTACTCCAACTTGTAACTGAACAAGAACTTGCTTTCTAATATTGCTGAGCAAGTAGTCATCCAAGCTGCCAAGACTGTTTTTCCTATTCTCCCACTAATCAGCTCATCTAGTGCATAATGCCATGACTTTAAGACTCTTGAGTTTCAGAATTCTTCATTTCATCCCTGTTTGCGGGACTTTTGTATGAGATCCTTTTTTGAGGTCAAGATATGGTTCCCAGAGCATAGTGGGACACATTTCCTTCAAATTTAACCTGCATTGGTTGCCATTTTTGAAGGAGAGCTGCATGGAAAAGTGGGTGGAAACACCAATGACCCTTGCCTCTAGATACTATGCCTGGGGACTTGGGATACAGGGAAGGGTGGAGGGGTGGGTTGTACCCTTCTAGCTTTGAGGAAATCAGGTCACTGAGCTATATCTCTCTCTGTGCCCTTCCTTCTCTCTCTGTCCCTCCAGAGACCCTCACGTTTGACATGGACTTGACTTCTGAGTGTGCTACATCCCCCATGTGATGGGCTAAGAATGGAAGCTACAGAATGATGTAACTGAGGCACCTAAACCCCACTCTGCCCCTTCCAAAAAAACCCCAAATCCAACAACCAAATCCCAGATCAACTGAAACTTGTACCTTTGTGACTACAGATCATTTTCTTGGATCTCCTGCTTCTCATTTATCCTTAAGTGATTAGGGTACCTTTCTCCTAGAGAAATGGGTGCTTCTAGGTTATATGCTATTAACCAAACAGAAGTCCAGTAGTTCATTCTTTGAGACTGTGGTTGTTTGGGTGGGAATGTGGGGGGTGGGGGGAGGCAGGAGGGAGAAGAGAGGAATGGGCTTTGATTCTCCCCCACTAACGTTCTTCCTCAGTCTTTATTTGGGGATTTTTGTGTGTTCTGGGTTTCTCTGTTTTGTTTTTTGTTTTGCTAGACAAGTGCCTACTGTTGCCAGCTGCATCCAGTGCCTGTTTTCTAAGGTAATGCTCCAGGCTGTGTCTGCATGCTGCCAGCACCTGCTGCACCTATTATCTTGCTAACATCCAAATAGAAGTGAGGACTTTTTAATCCTCTAGGTTTCTTTTTAAACCTGGAAAAGTTAAAATCAAAAGAAAAGAAACCCCATTCTCTCCCATATCAAAGCTTTTTAAAAATGTATTTGAGATTCCTTGGAGATTTCATTCAGGTAATCAGCAATCCCGGACAGCACTCTTTCCTTAGACTTCTAGAGTGAGTTTATCGAATTGGTTCGTTCATTCATCCATTCAGCAAACATACTCAAGGTGCTGGGGACACAAAGATAAAATCTGACATGATCTCTGCCCTCAAGAAGCTTACTATTGATTACCTCAAATGGTACCTGAAGCTCTGAAGCTATCGCTTGGCCTTTAAAACAGACATGTTTAGGAAGAGCCTAAAATGAGATATATATATAAATATTTATATATATATATATATATATATAAAAGTTTTCTTTGGTAAATCTTTTTATTCCCCCAACGCCTTAGTTTCTGGTTCTGAGCTTGGTTGTTAGGGTGCCTTATTTGGGCTGAAGGGATTCTTCCCTTCTCAGCATGTCCTCCTCTTCCCTTCTGCTTTCTCAGTGTCAGTCCCATTGCTTTAGGAATCCTGGTCTTGGAGCCTTGTGAAATCAGAATATAAAAGAGCTGTGGGTGCTAGCAGTGGTGTCAGGCCATAAGCCTCACAAAGTGCCCTGTTGGTTTTAGGAAATATGGCTCTCTCAGGTTCTTGAAGGTTTTCGGCACTTATTTCACTTTTAACATGGTTAGCTCCTAGGGTGGAGACATACAGAATCGTAGAATGTTCCAGTGCAGAGGAATGTTAGAGACTTTCTGCTAAGGAAGGCCAGGGCTTAGACTTGGGTTGGGCCTGTGTCCTTTGGCTTTCCCCAAGCCTGGGGGTGACTCAGAGGCCCCTCTTCTGGGTCCAGCAGGGAGCAGGAAGACCCCGCCTCTTGACAGGCCTGAAATTGTTCTCAGGCCTCTTCTGGTGCTTCTCTTTTTGCCTTCCTAGTATTAGCCAGCCACATTTGTAGTCTTGTCCCAGGTGCTTTCTTAGAGAAGATTTAGGTCCATTCTGCTCCAGAGGCAGTGGCTTGGGGTGTGAGGGCCTTGAAGAGTCTCTTCTCAGTTGTTCCCTACCCTCTGTGGATCCCCACAGCAGCCCTTGAGCTGAATGGGGACACTGATCTCCCTAAGAGCACTATAGTAGTTCCTCTTGGTCTGATTCATCTTCATGATGGGATGGCATTGGCACTCAGTGCAGACCCTTAGGAGCACCAGATCATGCAGGCTGGAAAACTGAGGGCTGTGCTAGAGAGAACTCACAGTTGCTATTTTGCAGTGTGAGGCTGGAGGAGAGATGGGTGACTCAGTGCTGGGGGAGGGGGGGGCATTTATAATTGATGATTTTAGGTGGCATGTGTCTTTCTGTTTCTAATTCTTGTGATGACAGAAGCAGTGAAAGGAATTGAAACATGATTTACCCTTTCCTCCATTTAATTTTTTCCTCTCAAGAACAGTACCTTGGGTAGGTCTGCTGCCCTTCTCAAACCCCTTTCAAACTCCCCTTCCCCCTCATCATGCCCCCAAGGGGCTTCCCTGTTACCAGTTCACCTTGTACATTGGTTCTGTTTGTAAAACAACCTCTGAGATGCTGACCTAATCCTCCTTGCATTCTGACTCCAGTGTATACTTCATACTGTAAAAAAAAAAAGTTGTTTTTGTATATTTTATTGCTGTATCTATCTGCTTTTAACTTCTAGAAATAAACATTTTAAAGCAATTATCTGATCATGTAGCATCCTTCTTGCCCTCTTTCACTATCTGTCTGTCTCTCCACCCAGTCCCTCTGCTGTTGGTACTCCCTGTGTTGTAGGGCTGGAGTTAGTCAAAGCTAGAGAGAGAAAAGTAAGCCCCCAGCAGCCTTGCAAAAAGACCTGCTCCCAGGGCCAGGCTTGTAGCCTAGGGTGGGAATGACTGTCTTCAGCAAGTTTTTATTACACACAAGATACAAGATAAAATAAAAAATCAAAACAATCCCTGCTCTCAATTTAAATTCTACTAGCCTATCCACAGAAAAGTACACGAATGGGGGTATGGGGAGAGCACCATTACTAGGAGGAATCAGGAAGGGCCTCTTGGGGTACAGCATGCACTGAGCCTTTGAGGAAGCCTTGGTTTCCAAAGTGACAGGGATGAGGACAGAACATCCTAGGCTTGGGGAGCGACCTGTGCTGGAGCGGGAATGCAGGGGGCGGAGTGACACCTGAGGAACCCCCTTGGGGTGTTGTCTGGAATCCAGCCTTTTACACAGCCTCAGTTTTATCTAAAGAAGTCAGAACTCTTGGGGATACTGCTTTCACTTGAAGCCCGAAGCCCTAAGCCTAACATTCTGCTGTGAACTGGAGACAACCAGTGGCTCTGACAAAAGGCTTTTCTAATCTGAAAAAGCCAAATCCTTCCCCCACCATAGCTTCCCTGAGCCCTGTTTAATGTCACTAAGCTAAGGAAAGAAGACGCTATCCCCAAATTTCTCTCCCCTCTTCCACTGTCTGCCTCTTTTATGCTCTGTCCAGGTCTGTCATTGGGAATTGCAACATACAGACACTTGACTAGAACTGCCATGACAAGCAGGGACCCAGGGTTGGCCCATGGGTCTATAATTCAGGGAAATGCTCAGTAGTGCTGTTTGCTTTCATTCCCTCATCACCAAGTCTATTTAGCTGCCCCCGTGTTCCCTCCTCCCTTCTCTAAACACCATGGAGACAGAGTCTGGTGCATGATAACTAGCTGCCTCCCCTGCAGAGACAAAAGGGAAGATGGGTCATGTTGCTTCCACTGAACTGAGACCACCTTCTTTCCCTCCCCACCCAATCACAGCACCACGCTGCCAGCACTTGCCATGACTCCTGAACACAGTCCAGCACAGATCCAAGTCTTCCCTCTCCAGGTCAGGGCAGCCATGGTCCCAGCACCTGTCCTTTTTCAGTGAGCTGTAAAAAAGCCTTTTCTGCTACCGGGGTCAGTACCCTTCACTGAAGGGGTCTGAGTGACTCCACCGGCTAAACATTTAGCAACTGCAATGTTTTGCCCAGCTGTACTAATATACATTTAACTTTTAGCTGGGTGACTTCTCAGGGTCCTGTTAGGTACAGCCTGCAGTTCAGAGTGAGCCAGATTGAATAACATGGAGGCAGAGGACTCCTTTTGATCACCACAGGTCTTCACTTAGAGCATTGCCCGAGAATAGCAGCTGTGGGCCAATGTTGCCACCTACTGGTCTTCTGGAGGAGGGGGGAGAAGGAGACAGCTGTGGCCACAGTAAGATCCTAGCCAGGGACTAGACTAGGAAAGAATCTGGAATTCTTCCCCCCCAAGACCCAACTCCCGAATTCCTCTGTGATGGTGGCTATAAAACTGGGTATATTCCACTATGCCTCTTACTCCCTATCTATCTCCACTTACTCCAACATATGTCTCCTTCACAGAGAGTCACTGATCTCCTTCATGATACTGTTTGGAAAGATTTGGCATTCCCCAAGATAAATTAGCCAGAAGTAGCTGTATCTCAGAAATTTTAAGATAGGTGATATGGCCTCAAGTTGCAAAATTCCATCACTGGGACACAAAGGAGAGAAAGAATTGTGAAACGCTCAGGTCCACATTCCACATTCATCATTCATCCCCACCCCCCAACCCCGTTACGTATCCTAGCACCTCCCACCTAAGAAACAAGGCCATTCTTAAAAAGCATTTTATTCAAAAACAGCATTTCTTCACTTTATCCAAATGTTTTGTACAAAGTACAAAAAGTATATGGTGTCATCCTCTGGCCCCTACCTGCTCTGATCTCAAAGTCATTCCAACCTCTAATCTTAACCCTCACTTCCCACTACAGCATAGATAGATGTTCCCCCACTTTGTAAACCTAACTCTTTCTAATCTCCAGCCTGCTAGGTTAGCTGAAAGGGATATTGGGTAGCTGACAGAAATGCAAGACTAGGGGAAGGCTCCTGTCAGTACCAAAACCATTTGCAATGAGACTCCCAAGGGCACCAAAGATCAGCTTCTGGAATCAGTCATAGATACAGTTGTAGTTTCTCTTTTCTCTGACAGAATTTTTTTTTAAGACTTTAAGTCCTGCTTACTGTGTTCCTGACATCTTCCCTCTCCTGCTGCCAAGGCCATCCTGTTTTCTGGTCATTGCCAAGGTCATGGTATGTGTGCATGAGTGCGTGTATGTGTGTGTGTGTGTGTGTGTGTGTGTGTGTGTGTGTGCGTGCGCGCATGCGGACTCATGCTCGAGTGCATGGGGGGGGAGGGGATGTGGGTAAGGAAAAGAAAACAGACTTAAAACAGGCCTAAAGGGTCAGGACCTCTGACCCAAGAGAGAGGAAGAGGTCTAGCAACCACTCACAGGAACAAGGCAGCTCTTTACACCACAGCTTGTTTCTAGTTAACCCTTTCTGGACAGTCTGGGGGCATGGTTGGGTCAATCTGTAAAGCATTCCCAGGAGTTCTAGCCCAGACCCTTCTGTGCATGGGATTGTAGGACCATAGATTTTGAGCTGAATAGGCTCTTGAAGGTGCTCTGGTCCAATTCCTTACCAATATGGAAACTGAGGAGATCAAGTAGGTTGCACAAGAGTAACACAGAGGAAGAGCCATAATTAAAATCCAGGCCTTTGGGCTTCGAATCCAGGGCTTTCTACTGTACTACCTGGATTGACTAATTATACACAGACGTGTGTGTGTGAGCATAGACTAGTGCACACACATACGTACAGGTGCATTTGGGAAGCCACTCAGATCAGCACATGGGGAAATAATGTCCTGCCTCCCACTCCTCTCAGACAATCCTGCCCCACCTACTGCTGCTAACAGGGCAAAAGAAAAAAAGAAAACATTCCCCCCACCCACCCCTTCCCTTTCCCTCCTAACAATCAAAGCTTATGGACTGGCTTTTAGACAAGAGAAAAAAATAGTCACAGTCCCTGAGGCCCTGAAGATGCTGGCAAACACTAGACAGTAGGGGAAGAAGCCACCCACCCCACTGGCATCACATACACAGAAATCCCGAGGTCCCAACAACCATCAACACTTCACATTTTGAGTACTGTCTCCAATGATGCATGGATTTCACACCAATCAGTGAAAAGAGGGAAGAGGGTGAGGAGACATGGAGTGGAGGGGTAAGAAGTCATGACTGGGTGTGGGGGATCCACTGACTGTCCATCGGTCGGCTTAAAAGTTCTTCAACATGTCTTGCTACGTCCATCGTTTCATCCAGGTCAAAATCCGCATCAGGATCAAGGACAGAGTCAGGGCTGGTGGAATAAAAGGGAAGCCTTGAGAGTTCAGAGGGAACACAATGGATTCCCCACTCCAGATTATCTCACGGGTGTGCCCCTACGGCTCACCCAAGGATGGCAGCCCATGCCCCTCCCCCACTCAGGCTGCCCAAAGGATTCTGATCGCATCTGGACAACACAGCTCCCATTAAACCCAGAGGAGGGGTCTCCAGGGGTAGCTGGGAGCAGGCAGTGCTTGGTGAAGGACAACTAAGAGTCCATGCCTACCTCTGCTCTTACAGTGACCACCAGCTTCTTTCAGAATCTCACACCTACTGCACTTGGGGAAAAAGTAGGAGCCCAGGGCTATGCCCCAGTAATCTGGGGTCCGTACAGTGGGATGGGGGGAACATTTTATATCTGCATTTTCACTGACCTTTGGTTTCCTTTGTGCTCCTATGCATTTTATGTGTCTAAAAACATTATTGTGAGAAGGGGTCCAAAGGCTTCAGCAGACTTCCAAAGGGGTCTGTAACACCAAAAATGGTGAAGACCCCTCTCCTAGGTGTTTTGAAAATTGGGAAAGGCTAGACTATTAGAGCTATCCCTAAATCTGGAGATGGTGAGTTCTCCTTTGCTAGGCAGAAATCTTCCAACCAAAGGCTAGATGGCCACTAGTTCAGAAGGATGTAGAAGATACTCTTGCTCAGGCATACAGTAGACTATATGGTCCCTTCTAACACTGTGATTCTGGACCTAAGCCACAAACCTATGCCTAAAGCCAGTAAAACCCAGCCCAATCGGGGAACCCATCTGAGACCAGTTCCTTGGAACAGTTACCACCCCTCCCCTTTCTATGCAAGTGCAACCTACTTCTGGGGATACACGTTATAATGAGACTGGGAGCACACAGCTGGGGATGGGGCCTGATCCATGAATGTGGCACTGCCTCCTGAAGAATCTGCAGATGCACTGACAAACCTGGAGAAAAAAGAAAAAACAGTCATAGATCCCCGCCCTCGGGAGGGCTGAAATGAGAGCCCGCTAGGGCCCTTGCTGGTTTTATGATCCTAGGGCTTGGACCTGGAGGGAAACATACTCGCTAAGCATCTATTCAGTCTGTCACAGCTGCCTGGGCTAGATCATCACCTCAGAAAAACCCAGATCTGCCCCTTCTCCCCTGGCTCCTGTTCCCTTGGGAATCTCATATGGGCTCAGCAGTTTGAGGTACTGCTAATAGCTCCTTCATGTACTGCTAATTGAGTCTGAGGCACTTCAAGAGGTCATCTTGACACTTCTCCTGAGGAAGCTGTTTTTAGGGGTGGGAAGGAAGAGGAGGTGCCCCCTCTGCCCTGGGGACTCAGGGAAGGGGAGCTCTGAACTGAGGGTCCTGACTCAAGACAAAATGAAAGATCCCACTCAACATCATTCAGCAAGGTCTGAGTCTGGGGAAGGGTGGATTTATGGATTATGGGTGTGGATGGGGGGGGTGGGAAGAGGGGGTTGTGGGTAGGGGAAGCAAAATGGAAAGAAAGAAAATCTAAATGTGAATACTGATGGGAGCTGAACACTTACTCTGGAACCACCTGCTTGATCTGTGGTTTCACATATCCATCCACAGCTTTACCTACCAAGGAGAAAAAAGGAGAAATAAATTGAAATAACTGGTGGCTCCCAAGACAGGGGTGGTGGTAGAGGGGAAGTGGAAATAATAATTCTAATACTATGAATAATAACAATAATAGCTAGCATGTATATAGCACCTTAAGGTTTGCAAAAGCACTTTACATATATTATTTTATTTGATCTCAAAGCAACCCTAATAATGTTGTTGTTGTTGTTCAGTCATTTTCAGTTGTGTCTGACTCTTCATGACTCCTTTTGAGGTTTTCTTGGCAAAGATTCTGGAATGGTTTGCCATTTCCTTCTCCAGCTCATTTTACAGATGAGGAAACTGAGGCAAACAGGGTGACGGGACTTGCCCAGGGTCACAGAGCTAGTAAGTGTCTGAGGCTGGATTTGAACTCAGGTCTTCCTGATTCCAGGCCTGGCACTCTATCCACTGCACCACCTAGCTGGACAATGTGCTCTTATTATCCCAATTTTACCTATCAGAAATCTGAGGCTAAGAACATTTAAGTGCCCTGTCCAGGGTCACATAGACAGTAATATCTGAGGCTGGATTTGAACTCAGGACTTCCTAACTACATGTCTAATGCTCTCTCAACTATACCATTTATGCTATCCCCAAGACAGCAGGAGCCTAGGAGAAACATGCAGTACTTGTAGATGGATTAAAGATGCAGTTTAAGAATTATTCAGCTATAAATAAAATTCAACCATCTAGGAGGAAAGAGCACTGCATTTGGAATGAGAGGGCCTTGGTTCAAATGCTGTCTCATTTACTTACCATGTGTATAACTTCGAGTAGGAAGATCTGGGTTCAAATCCCACCCCCCAAGAGACTTGCTAGATATGTTATTCAACCTTTCTGGGCCTCAGCTTCCTAATCTGTAAAATGGAGGGGAGGGGTTATAGAAGATGATCTCAAAGGTCCCTTCCAGATCTAAATTTATGATTCTTATCAATTCCTTCCCTGCTCCCCTCCTTTAAAAAAAAAAAAGATTAAAAAAAATTCTAGGGGCAGCTAGGTGGCGCAGTGGCTAGAGCACCGGCCCTGAAGTCAGGAGGACCTGAGTTCAAACCTGGCCTCAGACCAAACATTTGACACTTACTAGCTGTGTGACCCTGGGCAAGTCACTTAACCCCAATTGCCCCCCCCAAAAAATTTTTAAACTTAATGATCTCAACAAATATGAACCTGCAAACTAAATAAGGAAAGAACTTTCAAATAAATTTTAAATTCTAAATTATATGCATTTTAATAAGAGCAAAATTAGAAATGTTAATAAAATAAAGACAGGCGCCACTGATTTGTTCTATGCCTCCTTCCTTCCTGTCTTTCTGTGTACTTCAAGAGTTGAGTTGTTATTGTTTGTTTATAAATCCAAGTCAACGAGAGCCCTATTTTTATAATTCTATTTTCTCCCTACCATTTTCCTTTCACATTTGCCCTCCTGTCCCACAGATTGATTTGGTGACAGGGAGAAGATTCATCACTTTATTCTGCTGCTTGTAAGCATCAGTCCTGGGGACAGTTCTCAGGAAGGAGAAGCTGATTCAAATGAGGTTGGTGGGTTAACACGCACGGAGAAGAATTATGTAGATCTCCCTATTCCCCTGAGATACCAGCCTTCTTTGCAAATGTAGACAATGCAGAACCTCGGTCTGCTAAGAGAAAGAGCCCTGCATGTGAAATAGGACTCACCAAGCACAGGGGTGTAATACTTGGAGAAAACTTCATCCTTGGGTCGGTCTGGGAATACATAGATGAGATAGGTCAGGTCTCCCAGGCGGTCCGCCAGGGATCGAATGGAGAAATCCTTTGCTGTGAATGGCTTCAGGTTCCACAGGTTCCGATCGGCTATGGGAAAAGATACACGTGCCCATCAGCATACTGTAAGGGTTAGGGAGGGAAAGGGAGGGAACTAGGTAGCACAGTGGGTAAAGCACTGGACCTGGAGTGAAGAAGACCTGAATTGATTCCTGCCTCTGATACTTACTGACTATGTGATTCTGGACAAGTCACTTAACCTCTCTCTGCCTCAATTTCCTCATCTGTAAAATGGGGATAACAATAGCATCTAACCTCACAGGGTTGTTGTAAGGATCAAATGAAATAGTGTCTGTAAAGTGCTCTGCAAACCTTAAGGAACTATAAAAATGCTATGATTATTACCTGGAAGCTTCATAGCAGCTTTCCCAAGAAACAGAGACCTTTACCATCACCCAATCTCCCCAGCATAATGAAAGGAACCATATCAGTAATGTGCCAAGATGGACAGTCTAATCTCCCTAGGTACCTCGATGTCTGCAAGGCTGGAGAAATTACCCAAACTCAGTTCCTGATTTGGTGAAATGGTAAGAAGAAAAACTACTTTTGTTCAACTCCCTTCCCTATGTGTGAAGCTCTTGGCTTCTCTTTTGTCTCCTGGATTCAAGATCTGGAAGAGGAATGCTGAAGGGGATAAGCAAGGTGGAGAGTGGAGGAAAGAGGAGGAAAGAGAGTCAGGGAAAGGAAAAGTAAAGGAAGGGAAGAGGAAATTGAGTGGCTTGTTGTGTTGGGGGTCTGGGGACTCACGGGAATCAAACTTCCAGGCGATGGTGATGCCCCCAATTTCAGAGTCACTGAATCGCAGCAGGAAAGTTCCATCGGGTTTGTTGATGAGCAGGTCATGGGCCTGCTGTTTGTTCACAAAACCCAGGATGGCCCTAAGGGAGGAGGAGCATGATGGGGGCCTTCTTACCCCCTGCTCAGAACCTGTTAAAACTGCCTTCCCTGCTTGATCCCCAAATTCCATAGCTAGACCCCGGACTGGTCCCACCCCTACCACCTCCATTCCCCCAAAGCTGCCCTGTGCTATAGCTCCTTACCCATCATTCCAATGGGGCTTGTGATGCTTCCTCAGTACGTCCATCACCCCATCAAACCACTGCCAGAATGTGTAATTCCAGCCTGGCAGATTCTCCTAGAACAACCCCCACCCCCCAAAAAAACAAAGAGGTCTGAGTTAAGGCTCGTACTTGGAACACCTTCCCCCAAATCAAGCAGATGGTAGCAGTCTACCCCCACCCCTTCCTGAATCAAACCTGCTCCAAATGACTAAATTACTTCTCCTACCTACTACCAGCTAAGCTTCAGAAACTCCCCGACCCCCCCCCCCCACACTCCTAATATAATCCCACAGGGCAGGAGACTGAGGGAAAGGAGCAGAATGAGGTCTAGAGTCTAGGGAGAGTACAGGTTAGCATATTTCCTTCAGGCTTCCTTTGTTCAAGTTCTTTTAAGATTATATTCCCTGCTTTCTTTTAAGGCCCTCTGTCCATTTTCTTCCAAATTCCAGGTATAGGCCCATATATTTTGCTTCATTCTATATGTTCTATTATAAAACACTAAAACTGACTATATGCGCTCAAAAGTCCAGTTGCTTAAGACATGCAAGTAATAGAACTTCGAGTTCAGTAACATTTTCTCTATTCCACCCAAAATCTGGATGAGTTTCAGGAAGCCCTTTTACCCAAAAGAGCTGCCCTTTGTTAATGAAAGGTAGAGGCCCTGGAAACAGGATTGGAAGAAAACTCCCCAAGGCATCTATCGTGAATGATTCTCCCGAGGTGTACAGTTGTTTGACCCCCATTTCCCTCACCCTGTTGAACTGGGACCAAGAGATGGCCATGCTGTTGTAATCCTCCATGTTGTTGCTGCTGCTGTTGAACAGTTTCTGAGCCAGGAACACCAAGTTCTCCTTCGTCAGGCCTCGGTTGCTCTGGACTTCTGCCTTGAACTTCATGTTGAGAGCCTCGCACAGCTGGGGCCACAGTACTTTGTCAGGTACGCAAATGGCACCCGGCCCTGGAGAGGGGGAGATGACAGGGAGATCAAGTCAGAGAGAGGAACCAGCCCCAGGAGACCAGGAGAGGGGGAGTAGGCAGAGATGGGGAGCTCTCATTGGCTCCTCAGACCTCAAGTTCAGTCATCCTCCCACCTCCCAGCTCTGGCCCTGGGTGAAGGCAATAATGAATGACAGTCTGAAGGGTCCTGAGGCCTGACATTCCCGGAAGAGTCACAGCAGAGAGGTCACTCACGGGCTCAGCAAATGCATTGTCCCATAGCACCGTGGCTGTTGCATTGTGGTCCTGGCTCCCATGAACAATGACTACCACTGGAAGGGACAGGGTCTGCAGGGGTGAGAAAAGCAAAGATTTGGGGAGGGGAATGGAGTATAGGATCCACGTGGCATCTCAAATTCAAGGCTCCCCAATTCACAAGTGGGGGTCTCAAATTCCTACAAAGAAATGTTCCTTTTAGGTTCCTGATTGATTGACTTCTAGCATAGAATGGAGACTAAGTTTTTCTCATGTGTCACAACAATTGACCAGAGGCCTAGATGGGGTTCAAATTCCACCACTGATACTTACTAGCTGGGTTATCCTGAATAAGTCACGTAAACTCCCTAAGCTTTAGTTTTCTCATCTGCAAAATGGAGCTAATAACAGCACCTATGGGTTTTTGTGATAATCAAATGAAATACTGTGCTTGATACTTTGCAAACATTAATACACCATATAAATGTTAGCTATTAGCTATCTGCTGGGTTTAATGACTAACTCTAGGAGGATGATTACCAAATCTATATATCCAGACCTAGTCTCTCTCCTGAGGTCTAAATGAGCATTTCCCACAGTCTATTGGATATTTCAAAATGGATGAACCTTAGGCATCTCAAACTCAACAGACTCAAAATAAACTCATTACATTTTCCCTAGAATTCACCTGCCTTCTGAACATCACTATTTCTGTTGAGGGTACCACCATTCTTCCAGTCTGAAATCTAAGTTTGAAATTTGAAATCTTGGTGTTGGGCTTCATTCCAAGTCCCCCTCAGCCTTCATATCCAATCAGTTGCCAAATCCTGTCTTTTCTATCTCCACAACATCTCATACCTCTCCCTTTTCTCTTTACTCCCACAAGCCACCCCCTTGGCCAAGCCCTCACCATCTCCAAATTGTGCTATTGAAAGAACCTCCTAATTAGTCTCCTTGCCTCAAATTTCTCTTCTTTCCAATCCATCCTCCGAAAGATGTCAAAGTGATTTCCCTAAAGCCTAGGCTTGACCGTGTCACCCTCTAACTCAATAAACTCAATTGAGTTCTTATTGCCTCACATAAATTCCTCTGTTTTTAGTTTTTAGAGGCTTTTATAACCTGAACCCAACTTACTTTTAAAAACTTATACATTATTTCCCTTCCCTCTGCAGTACCATCTAACTTACCATGGCAACAGAAGAACCAGTGGGTCTTACCTTCTGACCTTGCAGCTAAATCCTTTCTGTGTTATCTATCTCCCCTGATTTGAACACGAACTCATAGAAAGCAATTGTTTCATTTTTCTATCTGTATCCTCAGTACTTAGGTCAGTGCTTGGCACACAGCTAGAGTTTAACAAATGCTTTTTCATTCATTTATTTATTCCCACACTCTGATCCAGCCAAAATGACCTTCTTGCTGTTCTTTACACATACCACGCTCTTTCTCCTCTCTGCACCTTTGCACTGGCTGTGCACCCCATAACTGGCATGTACTCACTCCTACCTCATTTCAGCTTCTTACAATCCCTTATTCCTTTAAAAATCTCAGTTCAAGTTCTACCTTACACATGTAGTCTTCCTGATCCCCACTGCTGCTAGTGCCTCCTACACAAAAATTTACATTGTATATTTTTACTATATCCTTACTTATTTACTCTTATTTCTCAAGTGGAAGACAAGGACAGTTCAATTTTTTTTTCTTTGTATTCCTAGAGCCTAGCACAGTGGGACATAGGAGGCCCTTAAAAATGCTTGTTGATTGATTATTAAGAGTTCACCACCCTGGTTATCTTTCTCTTTCTTGGTCTCCATTCTCCTCACAACATAGACTAAAGGTTGAAGTCTGACAGGGGTGTTGTTGTTATTATCCTTGCTGTGATGATGATGATAGACTCCTGACATTCTCATACCAGCATTGCTCTGGAAGGGCAGCTAAGTGGCACAGTGGATAGAGCACTGGATCTAGAGTCAGGAAGACTCAGCTTCTTGATTTCTAATCTGGTCTCAGACACTTACTGGCTGTGTGACCTTGGGGCAAGTCACTTAACCCTGTTTGCCTCAGTTTCCTCATCTGTAAAATGAGCTGAAGAAGGAAATGGCAAACCACTCCAGTATCTTTACCAAGAAAACCCCAAATGGGGTCATGAAGAGTGGGACAAGATTGAAAAATAGTTAAACAACAACAAAATGCTCTGGTTAGCTGTGTGACTTCTGGCTGATAAATCACCTTAATACATATGTAACCACTGTCCCAAGGCCCATTGGTATGGAACTCTCCTCACTGGTGGAGAAGAATGCCCTGCCATGTGGTATACACAGGAGATTATACACCAGACAATACAGAGTGAAAGAGCTCTCCCATTGGGAATGAGATAATTCAGTTCAACCAAGAGAGAGAATCCTTGATCTCACCCAAAGGGAGATCTCTAAATTATAAGCTGGGAAGAGGGACACAATGGCGACTTCTGGCTCCTCTCATGTTTTCCCAGAGTTTTTTCCTTCAACAACCTGAAGTGATGTAGGCCTCTTCCATCTGCTCTATTGAAGCTGGAAGCTAGAAGCTCCCAAAGTGCCTCAACACTTGAAGAAGGTTTGAAGCTTGAGGAGTCCTCACCTTGCCGAGTCCCAAAGGGGTCGAAGAACTGAAGAAGCCCTCCTACCTCTCATCAACTCTGCCCAGGCCCTCATGCAGGCCAGAGATTCCATCTCTACCAATAAGGAGAGAGCCCATACCAATGAGCCTAGGGACAAGGGTTACATGGGGATCCACTGATTTCTCTGCACCTCCCTCCCATTCTGATGAGAGAAGTCCCCTGAGTTTTTACCTTAACTTGAAACACAAGCTCATTTCCCCCAATGCTGAACTGAGACTCGAACAGGACTGTGAATTTTTCCTCCGTCACTGACTCTGCACCCCGCCTGTCTGCCCGCTTAATCCTCTTCAGGGACTAAAAAGGCAGGAGATCACATGTGAAGAGAGATGAACGATTCCCTGCCCAAACCCCAGCCACCTGGCCTCTGCTCGTGAAACCCAAATATTTTCCCACTACATATTCCATATAATCCCAGCCCCCACTCTCTGCCAAGCTGCATCCTCACCATATTCCTGAAGTGTGCGCTGAGGGTGCCTGTTGCCTGGTGATACTCCATCACGCAGCAATTGTTCAAAATCTCCCCACTGCACTCACTGTAAAACAAAGATATGTCTAAACCGAGATTAAGCATCCACTATCCTCAAGGGTGCTTTCTCCTTCCAGGTCCTGATCCGGATTTCCCTTCTCCAAGAAGCCATCCCAGATTACTCAGCTCTCCTGGAGATAATACCCCCTCCAGCACTGACACCTACCAAAAGCATATGTTTCTAATTGATGTCTAACCTATCACATCAGACTGGGAGCTTTCCGAGGCCAGGGATTGTGGTTTCCCTCATCAAACTGGAAACTTTCTGAGAGCTGGGACTCCACAGGAGGTGAGGAGCAATGGGGAGGGGAAGGAGGCTATGGAGGAAGGAAGGAGTCACACTATGTCGACGGTGCTGCCCATAGGACCCCAGCATCTCGGAGGGGAGCAGCAGATAGGAAGGAAAGGCGTCCATCATTACTTTCGAGTGTTCTCGTTCTTCAGCAAAGACTTGGCCTGCTGCTCACTGATGATGGTGGCCTTCACTTGAGGAGGGTTCATGTGCACATTCAACTTCCCACCCACCAGGAGACGCACTGTAGCTGCAAACTTGGTCTGTGTCTTCAGGACCTGAGGGGGCTGCTTCTCAATGATGAAGGTGCTGGAGGGAAGAGAAATAACCAGACATCCAGGATGCTGCTGACACCAGATGACATCGTCCCTTCTCATGAGCCAGTTTTTCCCCCCAGCCTGAAGCAGCAGACAGGGAATCACTACAGCTGCTTCTCAAGGCCCGGAGGTCATGCAGCTAGGTGTACTAGGGATGGCCTTGGGCCCTTTCAATTCCTAGGGATGGGTGGGTCTCCCCTAAGAAGACTGTAGCTGTAAAAGATGGATGACCCCGTTCTTATCCAGAAGAAGGACACTGAGAGTTAGAAGATGGCAGGGAGGGGAAGGGACCTAAGTTAGAAGGCCAAAAGGAGCCAGGGACCACTGGCCTGGGGGAACAAGGGAAGGTGGGGCATCTGTTCTTGGGGAGTTCTCTCAGAAGCAGAGAGAGCCATCCCTCTCTCCAGCACACTGTCTGTGGGGAGTGAGAACCAGGGAAGCTCAGTTCAGGCTTCTCAGCCTGAGAAGCAAGAGCCCAAGAGGAAGAAGAACAGTACAAGACAGGACAGCCAGATTTCCCAAGCTCAGTGATCCCCAGAACTCTGCCTTGCTCTCCAAGGCTGGGCTGGCTCAAGATGAACGGAAGCTGGGAGCAGTCACCTGGTCACCAAGGCAGAGATGATGTCTGTGATGGTGGCATTGAGCTCAGTCAGCATCTCCTCCACAGGTCCAGGAATGGGCAACTGCTGACAAAGATGCTCAGCCCTCCTGATCTGCTGCCGGTTCTGCCAGATGATCTCGGCCAACTTCTCGCACCTGGGTGTGGAGGCCACAGGGCAACACAAAGGGAATGGGTTAAACTGTCCAGGACACAGGCTGACCCAGTACTGGCCTAGGGAGAGACAGCCCATGCTAGGCAGGGACCTCCTCTCCAACCACGGGAAAGAACTCCCAGTGGAGGATTGGGGTGGGGTGGGGCGGTGCTTGGCTTCAGCCAACTTCCCTAACCCTTCAGTCTGGAGGAGAGCTCCAGAGCCTCGAGTCCCCAGGACCGGCCCTGAGGGTGGAGCCCCCCGGCCAAAGGCCCCTCCCTCACATACCAAGACTGCAGGACGTCCAGGCTGCCCTCTGGAGGCCCCCCGTTCCCGGCCAGCTGCTGCCTTCTCTTCCACTGGATCAGCTCATCATCCAGAATGACAGTTTGCTGCTTCCGGAGCAGCTGGAGGGTCTTCTGATGTTTCTCTGCTAGCTCCTGCCAAGGTCACTGGATCAGAGACAAAGCTGGGAGCCACCTTACAGCTCTTCTGGTCCAACCCGCTCACTTGACCCATGAGCAGACAAGTCCAGAGAGGGCCAGCTCCAGTCCCCACAGGGAGCAGTGGTAAGGGACAGAGCTGGGATTAGAAGCCAGGGGTTCTGACTCCACAGGGTGAAGGCCAGGTCCCGTGGAGGGCTCAGAGCACAGCCTATCTCTGCTCCCCTTAACAAAGAGGAAAATGACAGGGAAGGTCTTTTCTCACAGGCTTGCTCACTTCTCTTGGTCCACATTCCCCACAGAGAAGGGAATCCCCTGCAGCCGCCCTGCCTGGCTCTGTGGCTCTCCTCCCCCCAGAAGAGATCAGGATGTGGCTGCCCAGGTGAGGATCCCCACCACCCCTCACCCCCCATCACTCATGCCCAGGACAGAGTGGAAAGGAAGGAGCTCACCACGCGGTACTGCTGGAGAGTCTGGGCCTCCCGCTGCAGCCAGGCCTCCAGGGACACCTGCTTCTGCTGAAGTGCTGTTTCCCTTGTCAAGCGTTCCTGGGGGCTCAGCTGTGACAGCTGGGAAAACTGAGCTGTGGGGGACACGAACAGACCAGGACACTGCCCTTTAGCCTTCACCCAGGAAGCTTTGGGGACCCAGGCACCTTCTGATCAGGAGACAGAAAGGCCCACAGTGAGGGATACCCTCCCCTCCAAAAAGGGGAGAGATCCCTCTGAGCCACCGCCCTCCTACTTTCACCCGCCTCTCCAACACCAACCAGCATCTTGTTCAGCCATTCCTATCATGCCTCTAGATGATGGAGGCATGAGGTCTTCAACCTATCCAGAAACAGCCTCATCCTTGTCCCCCAAATACAACAATGGACAGTCAGGGCCCAATTCATACTCCACACTCCCTCCCATCTGCCTGGGGATGGCAGCTTCTCCCAGATGAGGAATGTGATGAGGGAGAGAGAGAGAGAGAGAGAGAAAGAGAGAGAGAGAGAGAGAGAGAGAGAGAGAGAGAGAGAGAGAGAGAGAGAGAGAGAGTGTGTCTGTGTGTGTGTGTGTGTGTGTTCAAGAGTCAGAAGACAGACACCAGAATGCCATGATCCCACAGAAGGTGCAAAGTGAGGGGAAGCTGTCTGATCTCAGAACAGCCTGAGAGAGGGTGCTCATGCTCTGGCTGTCTCCAACTGTGCTCCCAGCCCAGGCACTTGAGCCTGGCCTTTCTGACAGCATGCCTGTCTGGCTCCCCCTGGGACAAGGCCAGGCTCCAGCCTAAGGGAAGCAACTCCTGGAAGGCTAGGAGAGGGAGCTCCTAGAGCTCCACAAGTGCTTTTTCCCATGGACAGCCCCAGCCTGCTTCTTCTACTCTGAAGGCTGCTGCATCCTGGGCACAAGGCAGACACTATGCCCTGCTCAAAGGAAGAGCTGTTCAGCTGGGAGCACTGAGCTGCTGAGCTGCTCAGCTGCTCCACAGACACCTCCTCCTGGAAGCCTTCCTGAAGCAAGGCCTCCCACAAACTCTCAAATTCAACCAATTCCTACCATCCCTGCTTGGGCAGACCGTGGTATCTTTGTGTTCTAAGGAACATTCCTGTTTGGGGGAGACTGAGATGATGGGTGTTTTTAAAGCACCCGCTGTGGTCACAGCAGTGGCCAGTATCACACTTAGCTTGGGAGCTGCCTGAGAGTAGAACCAGTTTCCCCACTGGACTAGAAGCTGGGTGAGGGTAGAGATCAGGTCCCTCCCTTCTTCTTTAGCCCCTTTGCCACTGCTCTCCATTTCTCAGGGATGGGGCTCCCCGACAGCTCCAGCCCAAGGCCAATGCCCCAAACCAGGAGACCCATTTTTCTCTCCAGTCCTGAGCTCTCTTGGTGCTTCCTGGTCCCACCTTCACCCCCAGCCCTGACTCCAGCCCCACTGGCCTCACCCTGGTTTCTGAGGCTCTCCTGGTACTGGATGATGAAATACTCCTGAGTCTGCTGCAGCTTCTTCAGCTCATTCTCTGTGTCCTGAGTGACCAGTCGCAGCTCCTCAAAAGTCTGGTTGATCTGCAGGTGTTTCTGGGACATAGCATCAGCCAGGTTCCCAGCTGGAGAGCTACACTGCAGAGGCAGAGGCAGCAGGGTCACATCATCAGAGGGCCCTGAGGCCTCAGGCACAGCCAGTGGCTCTCTGTGGCACACTCCACAGACTCCCAAGCCTTTAGCCACGAGGACAAGACAGTTACCATTTGGGCTACGGAAAGGAAAAAAGTCACCTAGGAAGACTAGGAGACTCTTGTTGTTTTTGTTTTGTTTTGTTTTGTTTTTTGCTTTTAGGCAATTGGGGCTAAGTGACTTGCCCAGGGTCACACAGCTAGTACATGTCAAGTGTTTGGTCTGAGTCCAGATTTGAACTCAGGTCCTCCTGACTTCAGGGCCGGTGCTCTATCCACTGCGCCACGTAGCTACCCCGAAGACTAGGAGACTCTTACAGGGCACAGCTCTGAAGAAAAAAGGAATCTTGGTTTGTTTCAGGCCTAGTCTCCCCTGAGGAAATCCTCAATGGGCTCCCTAGAAGGCATAAGGAGAGGGATTGTGCCAGAGGATCATTGGGGGATTTTCACTAACAATGAGGACTCCTCCTTCTTAGACTGCAGGCTGACCCCCACCTGGATAAATCACTCAGCTCTTCTGCCTTGCTATGGAATAAAATGTTCCAGCCATGTAGATGGCACAGTCTCCCAAAGAGATTTCAGCTCTTCTTCTCCCCACACACCCATTGACTTACAAGGCTAATGTAGCCAGGTTTCCATAGCACCAAGCACCCAGTGATTTATTTCCTTCAAGACATTTTGCTCTGTATCAACCAGCTTATCTTCCAGCCCACTACTAATTGATATGACCCTCAGATGGAGAGGATTTGGAATCCTCAACATCTCCAAAAACAGCATCATCCTCATCCTTCACAGAGAACGATTCATAATCAAAGCCTAATTCTTACTCCCACTAAAGCCTAATTCTTACTCCCACTACATCAAATCTGCTAGAGACAGCAGCTTCTCCCAGAGCAGGTTTGTAATAGAGAGGAGAAGAATGGAGGAATGGAGAGACAGGGGAATCTAACATTTTCCTGTACTATCAGGTGTAATTATGCATTGGTTAATTTTTGCTAAACTGTCTTTTTTTTCTTTCCCTTTTAGAGTGTGAACTCCTTGAGAGCAGATACTGTGGGGTATTTTTCTTTCTTTGTATCACTAGCATTTAGCACAATGCCTGGAAAATAGTGATTGCTTAAGAAATGCTTGCTGACTGACTTTTCCCCCCTCTCTTCCAGGGGATGGTCCGCAGTTTAGGGGAAAGTAGAGGGAAGGATATATTTAGAAATGAAGGTGATAGAAAACCAAAAGATATCAACAAAAATTTAAAATGGTTTTCAAAAGGCCTGGCTCAGAATAAGTCACCTGTTCCAGCATCTTGAACCATCACCTGATTCATCAAAACTGAAGCCTCATAATTTCTCACTCTCTTAGAACTGCATTTATTTATTTCTGTTTGTGATGTTTTATCATAAAATCAAATCATTTGACATATGGGTGTCCTATATCTCCCATCAGATGGTAAGGTTCTTGGGATCTTTCCTATTACTTTTGTATCCCCTTGGCAGCCCTCGGGACAGTCTTCTGTGCATAGGAGAAATTCAATGTGCAGAGAGAGTCTGATGAGAGAAGATGCTCTTTCAGAGCTCCCTGGGACACTCACATTGGTAGCTTCTCGGACCAGCCTCTGTTCATTGTATAATATGTGCCGGATGCATCGGACCAACTCCATGGGGCAGCGGTCATAAGTGCTCTGAAAGAATCAAACACCAAATGAACCTTCCCACTACCTCTGAAGTCTCCTGTTCCAACTATATCCATTTCTCCTAAACCAATAACTTTTTAAAAAATTTCTTACTATTTGTCATTCTCCTTTATTCTAGAATACCATCTCTCTTCCTTTCAACTAACCTGTAGTTTTGCCTCCTTCAAACCCAAAGCAGTATTTGCTTCTTCCAGAAAGTCCTCATGGATTATCCTTCATCTGATTCAATATTTATTGAGGGAAGGCAGGAAGGGAGGGAGGGAAAAAAGGAAGGAGAGAGGAATGGATTTCTCTCTAACTCTGCATCCCTTCAATACTGTGCATTCAGTTTACACCCAAAGGCTTACATATAAATATAGATATAGATATGTACATTATAATATATAGATATATAAGATCTCTCTATATACAATTTTCTTTCAAAAACAACAAACCATTATGAAGCATCTGGAAGACACTGTGTTGAGCTTTCCTTAGCATAGATATCACAAGTAATCCTTCCCTTATGCTTCATTGTTCATGTCTAGGACATACCTTGGCACAGAGGGTCATCTCTATTAACACAACCTCTTTTGAATTAAATGCTATCCCTTTCCCTTCAACCTCAACACTCCAGGATCCTGTTTTCAGTAGGGATGTACCTCCACATTTTACATCTCTCTGTCCTCTTATCTTCTGATTAGAGGATAGATTACCCCTGCTCCAGATGGCAATCTTATATTTAAAAGACACTCTAGTAAATGATCTTGCCACTTCCTTTTCCCTCCTATTCCATAACCTGGTAATCTTTTTTCTCTTTGAGATTAGCAGCCTTGACTGAGTTCTAATCTTTAATCTTCCCGCTATATGATAAACTGTCACAGCCTCTTGTCTTTGATACTGTTTCATTTATCATTCCCCCTTCAGACAATACTCCTCTACCTTGTAGCATAAGAAGAACAAGTCTAGGATACAAGTTACAAAGAAGAGGTGGGAGGGAATGAATGGAAACACAAAAAAGTTTAGCAGTTGGCTCAAGGTCACATAGTTTGCAAGGCCAAGATTTGAGGCCAAATGTTTTGATGCTAGGAAGAAGAAAAGGGAACATCATGTACCAGGAAGATGGCTCCAGATTTCACACCCACCTGCAGCTGAGTGGCATAATGTCCTAGCTTGATCTTCAGTAAAAACCCATCTTCCCCGACTTGGTGTTCAGCCTTCTTCTGTAGCTCTTGGATCAGGCCCTCTAGGAGCTGAGCAGCTTGGACACTGTCCTGGGGATTGTCCAGGTCAATGGAATTCCTAGAGTGGAAAGAGAAGTGGAGGGAGGGCAATGGACCATGGGTGCCATTTCACCTGGAGAGAAAGTGGAGGACTTGACAGTAAATGAAATTCTAAGTGAGCTCCCATAAATTAAAGGTTCTGCTCTGGTCTTCTTAGAGCCCACAGAATTCATTCTCAGAATTCATTCACACTCAGCGTGAATCAGAAATGAGAAAAACTCCTACTACCCTTCCTGCTCCCTCTTCCCCTTTCCTAGGGACGCCACCCCTTCCTCTAACAGTCACAGGGCAGAGACAAAGGGGGCAGAAAGAGAACCTGAGAGAGACAGACAGTAAAGCCATTAAGACAGGGAAAGATGGAGAGGCAAACACACCACAAAATATGAACAAAGCCCAGGCCAGAAAGGTGGGGGTGGGGAGGAACAGCAAGCCACAAAGAAAGAGAATGGGAAGATACCAACTTAGACAAACCACACACATAAACTAAGTCGCTGCTTAGAGAGAGCTTAAGCCAGAAACTGAAAAAGCCATGACCAATGCCTGGGATGACCACCTGAAAAACAGAGAAAGACTCCAGTCCTTCTATATCTTCCCCGATGGAAAAGAGTTTTTGATGTGTGTACTTACCAAGCCTGGCTCTCAATCCACTGAGCCAAGTAGTGGCGGACTTCGATGGGGAAGTGTTGTCCATAGAGGACCTGCATCTGGCGGAGGGCATCCCCTTGAAGTTGTTGTGCCTGGATCCAGCCTGCCATGACTTTGCACCTGAAGGAGGAGATGAAAGAGGGGGTAATTGGATTCAATTTAATTCAACAACAAACATTTCTTAAGCTACTTTGTATCTGGGGATTCAAAGAAAAAGATGAGAATGAGAGAGCAGAGGCCGGGACAAAGGCCAAGCAAGGGACCAGGAAAGGGGCTTGCCATTCTCATTTTCGTTCCTATCCATCAACTCTGGCTACTCTTATCTACATAGAGAAGGTACTCGGCCCTCTCCCTTCTACCAATACCTCCTCACTGCTTACTTGGTGTGATGGGAAGAGCACTGATTCAGAGACCAGGACTTGGGTTAAAATTCCAGCTCGTCTACTTACTATGTAACTTTAGGCATGCCACTTCCCCTCTCTAGACGTGTGTTTCCTTTTCTGTACTGTAAGGACGTTAGACTAGATACTCTCCAAAGTCCTTTCCAGCTCTAAATCTTACGATTCTAAGATTCTATAATTTTTTGGGGGGAGGGGGGAGGTGAGAAGTGGGCGTGTGAGAGGAAAGCCAACCCATCTCCCAGTGCCTGGAGCTGGAATGAAGGATGGTGCCAGATTCCAAGGGTTAGATGGCTAGGTTTCTCCTCCCTACCCCTTTCCCTAACGCCCCCAAACCGGGGCTTCCCCAAAGGCTAATAGTGCTAGAAACAGAAAGGGAAACCAGGTGGCTGAACCCTAGGAGTCCCCAGCTGGGGAGGGGTGGGACAGTCCCCCTAAGGCCCAAAGTGGGTAGGGATATTCCATTGGAGAGCCCCTTCCCCAACCCAGAGTCCCCCTCCTTGCTGGGAGATGATCCCACGTGGCTGGGGATAAGGGAAACCGGAGGTGAGTTGCAGCTCTCCTCCAGATCTTCTCGAACCCATCCTGGGCATCGCTCTCTCCTCGGTGGCAGAGAGATGTGCCATTTCTGTGTTTCTTCTCTCTCGAGACGCTGTCTCCTCCGAACTACGGAAACTCTCCAAGCCTCTGAATCTTTTTTCGGGACCCTAAGCAACCTGACTGGAGCCCTGAGATGCCCCGGCGCCGGAAGACGAAACGAGCGCCCCCTTGCTTTCTTTTCAGCAACCGCGAGGGCCCTCTTCTCCCGGCCAGCCGAACACCCCTCCTTGCCCCAGTCCAGACCCGCGCAGTGCGCTCTGGACGCATGAGCCAACCACCCTCACCTCCGGGCCCCCAGCAGCGGACCGCGGCTCTCCGCGCCCGGGTTCTCCTCTCCTGGGCCGGCGGCAACAGCTGCGGCTGAAGCTGCTACTACAGGAAGGAGCAGAGAGCAGCGATTTCCTCCTCAAAGGTCAGCTGCCTCCAACAGACCAAACACAGAGCGCAAAGCTCTCGCCAGCTCCCCTCCCTGCTTCCCTCCCTCCTTAGCTCGCTTACTCTCCGGCTAGGGCGAAGCGGCTGCTGTTACCACTCGCTCTGTAGCGTGGGCCTTCTCTGCGCCCTCGCCCGACGCAGTCCAGGCGGGGCGGGGATACAGGGGCTGTCCCACCAACTGTGCACCCCCCAAGGTCCCAACCCAAGTGCCCTGGCGTCTCCCGTGGGAGTGTCCCGGAGGGGGTGGGTGGTAGACGCAGCAACAAAAGTGCCGAAAGGAGTGACCCGGGGGAAGTGGGGAATCCCAGAGTAGCCGCCCTAGGGAGCCACAGGAGGCCTCATACTCTGAGAGTTCCAAATAAGTGCGTGGGGACTTCACCCACCGTCCCCTAAGGGCAGAGCTACCAGTATAGGGAAGGTGTGGGGACGACAGAGGAACCCTAATTATCCCCACGCACACCCAAGTAATCAGGATATCTACCACCGTGTACAGGATTGTCAACTTGTTCCGGTAAATAGTCGTGCTGCCTTTCCCTAGCAATCAAGAGACAGTTCTGTCAAAACCTCGGCAGGGGTCTGAAAGCAGACTCCTGATTGAAAGACCTTGCTGTCTGAAGTAACAAAAAGCTGGTGAATCCTCCACCATCTCACCAGACACTCCTACCCCCTCCTCCAGCCTTGAGTTCGAGGCCTCTATTTTGGATTCTATTGGGTAAGGTCAACCTGGACAGCTTCCATTCCCTTTGCCCAGCTTCTCTTCTCTTTTCAGACCTCCCTTTTCTCTGGCCCGTGTCCGGGTACTGGGCATTGGCAGGACCAAAGGGAGGAGCAGCTACTGCCCACCCCAGCCCTTGGCTTGGCTGAGGTTTTGGGCCATCCTGGGGTAACCATTCACTTCTGCCTTGATCTCTTATTTCCCTCTCTGCCCTTTTCTCCCTTTCTTATCATCCTTTGCCTGTTACCCCATTCTTTTTCTTTCCATCTCTGTCTCTACCTCATGCTGTCTGTCTCTGTCTCTCCTTCCCCTTTCATTCTCTTTATTTCGGAAGAAAAGTTTTAAGTGTTAGCAGAAGTCATGATGCATGTTCATGTTTTTCCTCCCTTTGCCTCCTCCTCCTAACCACCCTCTACCTCCACTCCCTTGGCCTAGATCTCTTAGTTGGTGAGATTAATAAAGAAAAGGATTTAAAGTGAAAAGCACAGTGAAAAGAGCTTTGGACTTGGAGGTGACCTGGGTACGATTTCTAGCTTGGACACTTCCTAACTGGGTGACTGTGAGGAAGCCACTTAACTACTTTAAGCCTCAATTTCCTTATCTGTACATTGAGGATAATAAAACTTAATACAACCTACTTAACAGGACTGTTGTGTAAGGATGGAATTTTGTAAACATCATGTGTGCTATAATTGTGAGGTACTATTAAAATAGAGATGTGTACCCCTCTGTGGGGATGCATACATGGTGTGAAAGGGAGAAGACAAGAGAATCAAAGCAATAGCTCCTCCCCACAGAGGATCCCTAAGGAAAGGGAGTTTGCAGCCCTTCCTTGACTTGGAGGCCCCCTCTTTACTCTCCAGGACCTCTCACTGTCCAGGCCTGATAAAGTGGAGTATTAGTAAGCAGCTCTGTCCCCTCCACACTAGACTTAGATGCACAGGGTAAGCCCACAAAAGTCAAATTACTCCCCTGTGAGCCTTATTCTCTCTAAATAGAATCCTGAGGATCTTGGGATGGGGAGTGGAGGGTGGAGAGGGGAAAGATCCCTCCCCTTCAATTCCCATCTATTTCTTTTAACTTTCATATTCTGCATTCCAAAGTGCTGGCTCCCTTTTTGAGATGCCTTCCACCCACAAGCAAGTGTGTGGTACTGGGGAGGAATCTCCAGCGTCCCCCAGGGTTCTTATTTCTGGGGCTATTGGGCCTTCTCCTTCCCTCCCTGATACTCAGCCTCTTCTCCTTTCTTACCCCACCTCCAAGAGTATTCTGCTCCTGGCTTCTTCCCAAGCCAGTGCCCCAGTTTACAGTCCCATCTATCATGGAACATTTGGGTGGGAAGGGAGGAAGTCCTGGGTTCCAGAAAGCTGGCACCAAGCTGACAACAAGCAAAAGAGGCTGGCCCTTGGCAGTTGTCTGAACCAAATTCCCCTCTGAGCTTCCACTTGTGCCTCCCTTTTCTTCTTCCACCTCCCCCACTCTCACCCTCTACCCCAGCTCCCCAGTCTGAATCTGGGACTGAGACTATCTTTGTGTCCAAAGACAGAAAACTTTTCCCCAAGCCTTCAAGCCATCTTAGTTTCTCCTGAGTCTGTTATCATTTGCTCTCTTTTTCTGTTTCTTTGTCTTGACTGTTCATCTCTCTGTATTACTGTCTCAGTCTGTTTCTCTGTCTCTCCCTATCATCACCTTTGACTCTCTGCTCTGACTTCTGGGAAAGGGGGGAGTTCCCAGGGATGGGGACAGAATGACAGAGGCTCTCCAGGGAGGGCAAGAAGCCAGGTGAGAGTAGACAGTAGTGGAGGGGAGTGGTAAGAGTAAGGTTAGAGAGAAGAACTAAATGCTCAGCACAATTAGTTAATTGGAGGTAATTTTCAGCACTTAGCACAGTGTCTGGCACAGTAGCAGGTACTTAATAAATGTTCATTGACTAATTTGCAAGATGGGGGCTAACACCATGAGAATTGGGATTCTCATTTTTCATCACCTGAAGAATCTGAGTTTTTCATCTTTCTGTTTTCCATTTCCAGGTCCTAGTCTGGGTTCTCTATCACTTCCCATTGCAAAACACCTTGGTTGGATTGGGTCTGGAGGAAATTTACCCAGGGGTCAAACTACAGAGGAATGAAAGGGAGTTGAGGGATGAGGGAGGACTGGGATTGCCCAGGACTAACACCTTTAGGACCCCACAGCTAAGGCTTTACCCAAATAGCCACAAGTAGTTGATAAGGCATAGATAAGCAGAGGACCAACTGAAGGAATAAGTGGCACACAGCACCAGCCTTGGAGGCAGGGAGATATGATTTAGAATCTTTGATCAGACATTTACTAGCTGTGTGACTTTGGGTAAGTCACTTAACTGCTCTCAGCCTCAGGTTCCCTATTGGCAAAAATGGGAATAATAATAGCATCTGCTTCATAGAGTCATCATGAGGATCAAATAGGATAAAACTGATGATTTGCTTTGCACACTTTAAAGTGCTACATCATCATCATCTTTATCATCATCATCATCACCACCACTGTCATCATTATTATCCCTTTACTTGAATAATCCAAATTATAGACCCATTTTATCATAGATTTAAAGCTGAAAAGGACCATAGAGGCCATGTAGTCTAATTTTAAGGCTGAGGAGACTGAGGGCCAGACAGATGAAGTCATTTACCCTGGGCCCTACAGGTATTGTTCTGGAGCCAGGCACTTTGACTCCAAATCCAGCACACTTTCTATTGTCTCACAGTATAATGCTGTCCACTCCTGGCCTGTTCCAACTTTCACACTGCTTCACCCCCACTAATCACCCCTGTATACACTCCTACCATGTAGACACTGGGCAGCTTTGCTGGCAAAGTGTCAAATGGAGGCAATGGTGGAGGTGTATTTTTTGGCAAGAAGGGGAGTATCATGGAAAAGAATTATGACCCCAAGTGTCCCCTCCATTCTTCCTCTGGCTGAGCTGGGGTAGAGTAGGTAGCTGGAGAGTGAGTGGTACAGACTAGTGTGTGGTGAGGTTGAGACACCAGGAAAGAAGGTGCTAAATCCCCTCAAGGAAAACAGATTAAGGTCACAGTGACCTGACTGGCCCTGAGGTGAGGAGGAGGTGGAGGTACAGAACTACCTTTGTTTTCTGTATTCTGAATCTCTTCTTCGAGGAGAGTTCCTAGTGGGTGGGGAGCCAAAGGGAGGGATACATTGTGAGGGGGCTTCACCAGAAATCTGGGGCTGTTCTGGGAAGCTGCTCTGTGCTGTGGCAGAGAGAGAGAACCAAAGCCCCAGGGCTAGCAAACATCCTGTTTCTGCCTCCTCCCCCACTCTTCTCCCTCCTCCCCTGCTCCATGGACTCCAGAGGGACCCAAGAGAGGTGACAAGTAGCTCTGGCATTGAGACCACAGTTTCCCTGTCCAATGGAGACCAATATAACTGTCCCCTCCCCCATGTTTTCCTGTGAAGATGCAGAGACAGCTCTCTGAGCCTGGAGAGGGGTGGGAGGTGGAGAGCGAGAGGGAGGTATATTGGAGAGTTCTAATGAACTGGAGACCACCTCGTTAGAGGGGGTCGGGACCTATAAATAGAGAAGCATCGTCCCACACCCCCTGCCACCTTAAAGCAGACTTTCAGAGTGCAAGACCCTTTTCTTTCTCCCTCCCCCCACCGCCCTTCAGAGAAGTCAATTTACTGTGAAGTCACCCAGGGAAAAGGAGCCCATCCTGCCCTAGGCATATTGTCTGTCCCTGATATTTCTGGGAATATATGGGGTGGGGGGGGAAGGGAAGGGAGTACAGGATTGAGCAAGGTGGGAAGGTGAAGCCCTGGTGAGAGAAAGGGAGATAGATACAAGTCATGAGTCTTCTGCCACCATTTGCCCAGGCCCCTGCTGCTAGAAGCATGGTACAATCCCCCTCAAGGAGAGAGGGGTGTTGATGGATCTGTGCTAGCTTCTCAGACTTCCATGAGGTGAAGGGTCAAGGGTAGAAGGCAAGGCTCCGCCAGACCTTTGGGCATCACCCTGATTCAAGGGAGGGAGGGTGTTTGGGGGGTGAGGTGGAGGGAGAAGGGGATCCAGGACAGATAAGGGAGGGGTAGAAAAGTTTAGGGTGGGCAGTGAGGGGCTGTTCTGGGTTCCCTTAGGACCTGCTCTATTACCTCCCCACACCCCAACTCCTTTCCCTCCCCCGGTTTCTCCTTCTAGTCCAACAAGAAACCTTTTGTGCTTAATTCAGCCCAATACCAGATCTCAGAGCCCTCTGGGGGAGTAGGGGTGTGTACATCTTCCTCTCCTCCTTCCCTCTCTCCCTCCCTCCTGTGGTCTGTCAGCCATCTAAACTGCTTTCCCACTTTGTTATGGCTGGAGGGGGTTCCTCTCTCTCTCTGTCCCTCTGTTTCTTATTGTTCCCCAGTTTCACAAGAGCTCAGACACACCCATTTCCTTTCCCCCTCCCCCCTCAAACAAAGGGCACCCAGATCCTGGAAGATGTGGGGGAAGTGTCCTTGGTAGAGTTGGAGTAGATGCCTTGGTAGGTCCAATACTGCTTTGCTTCTTTCTTGTTCTGCCATCTCCAACCCCCTGGTCTGGCCTCTAAACCTGGTACCAGACACTCCATCTCCTTTTTTTTCTGAAGTCATATCCAGGCATGGGCCATTCTCTCTACTTTATTGAAATTTGCCTGTTTATTCATTTCATAAACATCCCCACAAAGTTATCCAGCTCAGGTACCCACCCTGGTATTTTTCTATGTGCTTGCAGACCATGTCCCATCTCATACCACAGTGCTCAACCATTCAGATCCTGGGTCCTTCGGCTCTAGCCTCTGTCCATTTTAATCCCACTGGCAGACTCTTGTACACCCCTGTAAGCAGCCAACTCTTTGTCTGGTACTGAGCTGCCTTTTGAGTTCTCAACCAGACCAGCAATCCAAAGAGATATCCAGTCTGGGCTGGCACCATGCCCCCTCCCTTATGCAGGCCCCACCCTCCCTGAATGATGTGCCATTGCTCCAGGGTTACAGGTTGGAAGGGCAGGGTGACCCTGCCCCAGAATTCAGCTTGTCATGGGCTCTCAGGGCTCTCTGGAGAACCACCCCCATAAGTAGCTGGAAGGGAGCCCAGGCAGGTGGAGATCTCTTAGAGGAAGAGGATGTAAGGGAGCCACCCTACACTGGCCTGCCCTAGAAGAATGATCTTGAGGCTGGTTGGGGCATCTCCTGCCTGGGAATTCCTGCAGGGACCTGTCTTCTATGTACCCTAGAAACCCAGCCCTACCTTGGCCCCTTCTGGCTCCCAAAGTGATGATTAGGGTTAGATTGAATGTGAGACATGATTTAACCCTACAGAGGGGTTGTTGCTCCCAAATATAGATGCAAAGAAGAGTTATCAAAGTGAAGGCCCCTGGAAACCTGTTATCTCCTTCTTCCTACTGGTAGCAAATCCTCTCTTCTTAGCTCTATGAGCCTGTACTGGCTTAGCAGGGAGTAGCTTTCAACCATATGGATGGCATGGTCCTCAATTCTCTGAAGCTGAAGAGCCCTCCCTTGATCTATGTGTGGTTTCTTCCCCCTACCTCATCACCCCCCTTCCCTGCCCCTGGCAGTACTTAGAGGGGGACCTAGTCCCTAGAGCTCAGATAGAAGTTGGTAGTCTGGGGTCTTGGGAGGTAGGATGAGCTAAAAACTCTGTTCCCTATAGCCACAGGGATCTGGTTTCTACTTAATTACTTTCCCAGAAAATGATCTCATGGTCTATCTGTATCTAGGAAGGGATTATGAGTGAAAGAGAAGTAGGGGGTGGATGCTCTCTGCAATATCCCCATTTATTCCTGAATAAGAGGCTGGTGATCATTAGGCTGGGGGTGGTGAGATGAGATGAGAGTAAAACACAGACAAGGCTGCAAAATGGATTTCTGCTCCCTTCCCCCAGAAGCCTTTCCTTCACTCAGGTTTTCTGGATGTGTGTATGTGTGTGTGTGTGTGTGTGTGTGTGTGTGTGGTGTGTGTGTGTGTGTGTGTGTGTGTGTGTATGTGTATTTGGGGGGAGGGTGTGATATATCCCTCTATGGAGGTCTCTCTAATTGTAGAACCAGAACCCAGGACCCTGTCTATTCTGTGCAATCTTTTTTGATCCATAAAACCATTTGGTTAGGATTTTCTGAGACTGGAGCCAGCTTACCCTGTGACTTTTTCTCAGTCCAGGGGGTACTTCTGTGGGATCTCTTTTACTCTGAGTCCTTTCTGATTCCAAATAGTCTCTAGGTGAAGAATTGCTGGAGTTCCTCCTTGGACTTAGGTTGACTGACATTACTTGGTGAGGGAATCAGTCATCTAGAACATTTGGTCCCTAACACCTGTACACACATCTACCCAGGAACAGCTGAGGCCTTACATTCAGAGCTAAAGGAAAAAGGAATAAAAATAAAGAGGAGGGGAGTTAAGAAGCTTTCTGCTTGCCCCATTCTCCACCAGTACTATTTAGGTAACATTCCATTGACTTAGGGAGATAGGTAGAAAGGGCAAAGTGACCACCTAGTGTCAGCCCAAACCTGAGTCTAGAGGTAGAGAAAGAAGGAATGCCCTCAGCAGAGCCAGTAAAGCTTCCATTGCCTCTAACCTATTGCTTACTTGCCATCCCTTTTCATCTCCATGCCTACCCACAGAATAGGACCAAACATATTATGGATAGGTGATGCCCAAGGGAGTGATGCCAGCAACCTAAGCAAAAACTTTAGCTTTCTCCCCTAATCATTCTGTCACCTCTGCCCCTCTTTTTCTATTCAATTCATTTTTTAAATTGAGTGAAGTGTCTTGCTCGGTGCTGATAAGGAATGAGGGAACAGGGACTAGAAGCTTGTAGTGGAGAGAATGGACTTTAGAATCACTCAGTAGAACTACTTCACAGACCTGTTAAGTTTTTTTTTGAGAGGGGAAGGAATGGGTGACGATGGGAAACAATTAAGCCTAACTGGAATTATTGGAGTAACTAAGAATGGATTGGGGGATTTCCAGATGGTGATCACCTCTGGACAAAATAATCTAGATCTGGACAGTTATGTAGAAGACTGGAAAGGGGGGTACAGAGGTTTAGAGCATGGAGGGAAAAGGTAGAGGGTGGGGCTCCTCTTTCGCCACCCTGTCCCCCCAGTAAGGCTGGGTTCCCCAAGGTCTGAGAGAACTGTGTAGTGCTAGCCTCTGGAAGGTTGCCAGGGAAACCGCTGCCCAGCTCCGGAGATGCGGCCTCTGTTGCTCTGTAGTTGGGGATGGGGGTGGGGGTGGGGAGAATGTATGCTTGGCTCCTCCTCTCAGCGCCACCCCCTTGCGAGGACCTTCTCTCTTATGCATGGTCATCTGAAAAAGTTAGGGACAGAGAACTCAGATCTTTTTTCTTTTTTAAACCCTGCTTTCCACCCCCACCCTTTTTTCCTGAACCCCTCTGGGTCCTACACAGTCATCCAGTCCATTCTCCCTTAGCTCCTACGGATGGGGTCCCTTCATTTCAGAAAACTCTCTGGGGAAGAAAACGCCTCCCTTCCCTCTCTGCCTCTCTGTGACCCCCTCACTCCTTCCTCCAGTTTCGGTGTCTTCTACCCCTAGCTGTAATTCAGTCTGACTGGCAGCGGGGACAACTGTCCACGCAAGCTCTCCGCTCCGAGTGGGAAGCCGCCAAGAAGGCCTAGTTCGGAGCCCTGGGTGGGTCGCCCTGGGGAGCAAAGCCGGGATAATTATTGATCAGGTGAGCTGCGGACTTCTGACCCCGGCTTGAGGGAAAGGACCAGGGGACAGGAGAAGCACTGAGCACCCAGCCTAGGGCTAAGGGGGAAGGGAGGCGGGTAGGGCACAGAGCTAACACTACGACAACCACCCGGGAGGACGGATCACGGGTGGAGCTGTGGGGGGGGGGGGGTGTCGACCTCCCAAAACAAACCCGCATGTCATCATTCCAAGCCCCGGACCCTGGAGGGGGGTCTGGCTGGCTGGCTGGCTAGCTGGCTGGATAGGGAACGGGAGTGACCCTACGGTAGCCGCCCTGCGGGTGGCACCGCACAGATCTTGCAATAACAAGGCAGGGTGGTTCGCGGGGGGACGGGGCGGGGGAGCGGAGGGTGGCTGGGGCCCCCCGAGGGTGGCTGGAGGAGCGCGGGCGCTGGGCGGAACCAGGAAACGGCGCGCGCCGCCCGGGGTTGGGGGGGGCGGAGCTGTTGGGGGGGGGTGTCTGTGTGTCTGTGTGTGACAGAGAGCTGGGGGGGGCAGCCGCGGCGCGCGCGCCGGGGTCTGGGGCCCGGGCACGCGCCGGGGGCGGCCGCGGTCTCGGGTAGGGGAGGAGCGGGGAGGAGGCGAGGCTGGGGAAGCGCTGGGATCGTGCTCGCGCGTGCGCGCCCCCGCGAGCCCCTGGCGGGAGGAGAGCCTAGCCCAGGGCCGGACCCCCGAGCTCCAGACCCCGCCGAGCTCGGAGCCGTCACCCCGGCGTGGGGACGGAGCCGAGAGACTGCTCGCGGCGGCGGCATTCGGAGTGAGGGAGCGGCGCCCGACGAGGCGAGGTAGGAGCCAAGCCTGAGAAGAAACGAGCGGGCGGGGCGGCCCCCAGCCCCGGGTCTCCTCTCCTCGCCTTGGGGTCCAGCAGTCGCCGGTGCCTCCGCATCTAGTAGGGTCCCAGCGGGGGGTCCGAGGCCAGGCGTGCAGGGGCTGGAAGCCGGTGCAGGAGCGAGCTGAGGATTGTGGGGAAGGGGGCAGCGCGTGCGGAGACGCAGGGGCTACGGGCGGGTTAGGGGGGGCGAGAGCAGGCGGGGGGGGACTGCGCCTTTCCCCCCCCCCGCCCTCCTCAGCGCCCTCCACGTTGTTTGCAAGGTCGGTCCAGTCCCTGCTGCCACCCTCCTCCTGATCCTAAACAGACACAGCTGTCTATGTATATGAGTCCCCTAAAGAATGAGAGAGTGTGTGAGTGTGAGAGTGTGTGTGTGTGTGAGTGTGTGTGTGTGTGTGTGTGTGTGTGTGTTAGGTGCATCAAGGACGAGCACTTAGGAGGCAGTTAAAGACACAAACACTTTTGATAAGGCTCTTGGAGGGGAGGGGGGCTAGAGCTCGCGTCAGAACCTGCCAGGCCTAGGCTTGGATGTCTTGCTGTAGGATGTGGTGTATTCTTTTCTTCCTTTCTTTCTTTCTTCCCCGCTACCTCTCACCCCACGCTAGGACTAAAGTGCTGCTGCTGCGGGTAGTTGGGGTGGGGGGGCAGATATGGAGTCACTGGAAAAGAGACGTTATGTGACAAAAGCTAGGCTGACGTAGAGTGAATCTGGCAAGACGGTTAGGCTGATCCGAAAAGCAGAGAACTTCCAAGGGGGCATGTCCATTCTCTTGGTAGCTGACTGGCCGTCGGAGGAAAGAAAATAATTGGGAAGGTGGGGGTGGAGAAAAGAGTCTGGAGTAACATAGCATTAATGATATTGGCCAATCAGTCAGTAAGCATTTATTAAGCCCTTACGATGTTTGGGGCACTGAAAAGGTTCCAATTCCCTATCAGCCATTGTCAGACCTTTTCGTGTTTCCCCCCATGTGCTTCTGACAGCCTTCTTCCTGGGATAAGTGGATTTTTCAAAATAATAGATGATAGATCTCTGTCCAACTTAAAACTCCTCCAGCTATCTGTGGAATGGTTTGAAGCAATATCCTTTGAAAGTGTCAATGTGATTGTTTCTTTACGTCTCCAAATATTGTATTAGGTCTGTCCCATTCATTAGCTATTTCTGAATGGTGTTCATAATCTAGTCAAATTCAAAACTATTGAATAGTCATCTGGAACACAGTAAGCATTCAGCTGTCTGATTGTCCCCACATAATGTTTTTTTGCCATTTAGTTTAGATAGTAGATAGTTTAGATAGTAGAGCATTAATTCTTTTACTCTGTGCTTACTTGCTAATTTGCTGTTTCCACAAATGTATCACTGTTTAACATTTATTGACACAGATAAGAGGCCAATGCCAGCTTTAGGTGTTTTTCTAATTTCATTTTACAACATTACATGGATGCCAGATTGCTTGTAATAATTTCAGTCTGTGGAAGCCCCGTTGGTATAATTTATATTAAGGCTGCCGGCTTTTTCTAATAACTAGAAAATTATTAAACAAAATCACTGTTCCATCTTATGGAAGAAGTTTTTGTTGTTGCTGCTGTTGAAAATCATAATGCAAACTGGGAGATGAAAGAAGTAGCGGTTGGTTTTAAGGAGTAAAAAGGTAATGATATTAAAAAACACCTTTGGTTAGGTGGTGTGATTTAGTAATCTACACAAATCTATTTAAATTTCTACTTTCTGCTTGCATTAGTTTTTGTAAGATGGGATTTCTTTAGATACTTGGTGAATATTAGAATATGAAGAAAGGAAGGAGAAACTGTTTTTTAAAGCAAAACACCAAAAAAGGGTTGATTTCTATCATCAGCAGTTTGGAGATTGCATAACTAAGTGCTAAACTTTGCACAAAAAAAACCCCCACTACTAAGCCAACTTTACAAACTATCCCAGCTTCTCACTGTTTTTTGCATTGTCAGTATTCATGTTCTTTCTGCCAACAGAATATTGATATGGATTATACCAAGAAGAAAGCTCTTAAAAATTGCCCTTTTTGAAATGGAAGTTTCATACTGTGTAGTATGAGGGGGGGGGAAGGGAAGAAGCATGCTATCATTGTTTGGGCTTTTGCAACATAAATATTTTGGTTAGCACTTCCTTTCTTCCCCTGACTTCTCATCTCATCCCTACCTTCTCACTCCTAATGGATTTTATATGTGAGAATCTGCTCTTAATTTTACTTGTATGTGCAGAAGCTGTGTTCAGCATGATGTAATAGATCATTTGTTGCTATTTTGGCATCTATGGATTTTGTCCTTTTTAATATTAAAATTCAGAGTGCTTATATTTATTGAATAGTATTTTTTCCCTCAGAATCCTTAATCATCTTTGTGGTGGTGCTTTAATCTTGCAGGTTCCCTATAGATTCCATAGGTAATATATGGTTCTCATTTAGGACTGAAAATGTTGAAATAACAGGATAAATAGCATGTTCAGGGCCTTAAACTACAAGTTTTAGATGGAATTAAAGGAAACTCAACTCATATTCTGCTCTACAGACTAAGCATTTTACTTGCTTGACTGCCCAGAGTCAACATTTTGTAAAATTACTCACAGGTTTCTAGCAAATTCTGACAACCAGTGGACCAAAATAAAAATCTAGGTTATTTTTCCTTTTTTCTATTAGATATTAAGTTACTACCATCATTCTTATAAAAGATACTGACAAAATAGTTTTCAAGAAAAATATTTTTAAGATTTAAGACTGTTTAAGTTATTTGACAATTTAAGTTTATTGAAATCTTTAGAAGATAAACTGTATACATTATATAATTAAAGAAACTGGTTTGTCTTAATGAAGGTAATTTTAAAGGAGTGCTGTGAAATTGTGTTAGTCTACAGTTTTATTGGTGTTTAAAGAAAATTTTAAAATTATTTTAGAAAATTAGAGATATATTCCCCTTACAATATTGGAGATATAAAAGTGTCATTCTAGTTTCTGGGAATGAGAAAGTCAAATTTACCTATGTAGTTTCCACTGATCAGCTTTATGTAAAAAAGCAAGTAGCAGAATAACAAAAAGAAATTTGACTTAAAACATTTAAATCACTTAACCCTGATTGCCTCCAAAAAAATTAAATCTATTTTAGTTACGTTGTCTTTACTAACAGAAGATGTCTTCATGAAGTAGTTTGTCAAGTATTCAGTGACTTTTAGCCATTGAAACAAGCAAGGCGATTTGGGGATGATTGTGTATACAAATATGGTGTCTTACCAGCTATAAGCAGTATTACATTGTAAATACAGATTTCTTATTGGATGAAGAAGACCCTCATTTTTGGTGGTTTATGATGTTATTTTCTTGTTTTTGTTAGTTTAAGTCACACCCTTGACTTCCTTGGAAGGTATTTTTTGAGGTTTGGCTTCCTTTTTTTTTAAAAAGGTAATATTGGGGTGGGAGTGCTTCCTGTTTTTATTTTCAAAATTAGGTCCACACGTTAGCCCTGTCACTTTTTTTATTTTGAACACGTATAGACTAACATCATGTGTCATGTGGTTTGTTTTTGACCCATTGTATCAGTTCATGACAGCTTTACTGAGTAGCCTGAGCACCAGATCGGGAAGTTAAAAATTCTTGAATCTCTTCCCAAGCCTGTCACTAGCTTGCTTGGTGGCTTGGTTGGGGGAGTTCCTTCATATTTTTCTGAACTGAAAAATGCAGTTGTGGATAATTGTTTCCCAGGGAGTACCTTGAAAATTTAAAAACACCGAGACAGAGTTAACATGTCACCAGAGTCCTGAATATCAGAGATTTAGGGAGAAGGACACACAGTTATTATATAATGTGGAGTCATTTGGATTGAGCAGTGACTTTCAGTCAAGAAAATCGCTCAGTCACGAAACCATTTATTAAGTGCCTACCATATGCCAGACACTGGGAATGTAAATACTATATGTTTTATAGGTAGTAACAGGTACAGCTATGCAAGGTAGTTACGGAGGAAGGGGACCAGTTGAAGGGGTCATGGAAAGCTTCATGTAGAAAAGGTGGTACGAGTACCATGCCCAGTGTTTTGGAGGAAAATGAACATAAAAGGGAATGGGAGTGTCTTAAGACATCCCCTCATTCCATAAGGTTTAGTTTCTTTTTGGCTTTGGTGCTGCTGAA